CAAGAAGTCACCTGGGCACTCTTGAGAGACATTATACTACAGTTTGGGCTCCCACTGAGGACTAGGTCAGACAATGGGCCAGCATTCATCTCCAAATTGATCCAGAAGACGGCTAACATCCTAGCATCACCTGGAAACTCTACGCAACCGACCGCCCACAGGGTTCGGGGAAGGTGGAACGCATGTATAGAGCTATCAAAGCAAGTTTAGAGAAAATGTGCCAGGAGACAAATTCACAGTGGGTAACTGCCCTGCCCTTGGTGTTATTTAAGATTAGATGCACTCCTACTAAGAGGACAGGATTCTCACAGTGTAAGATCTTATATCATAGGCCAGCCCCCTTACCACAGAGCTTGCCAGGATCCCCCTTGGGAATTGAGAGAGGTAGGATTAAGGAAGCAGTTATAGGCACTGGGAAAGGTGACAGAGGCAATGTGGGAATGAATGAATGAAAGGTGTCCTGTTAGTTTGTTTTCCCCTGTCCACCCTTTCTCTCCAGGATCTGCAGTGTGGGTCAAAGATTGGAGTGTGTCTCCCCTAAGGGCAAGGTGGAAAGGCCCTTACAACGTTATCCTGACCACACCTACAGCTCTGAGAGTAGCAGAAATTCCTGCCTAGATCCATTACAGCAGAGTGAAGCCTGCTGTGCAACCAGAGAACCTGCTCCCCGCTAAGAGGAGCCGGACGGAGCAGTACGTGAACAATGGCAGCTGATCCTGAGTGCCCACGGCGTGGGCTCCGCACCTCAACAACTCCTAAACCTTGGGAAGCTACCTCGGATCCTGACAACCCCCTCAAGCTGATGTTGCAAAGAATGGCAAGCCCTGCTCCAGTCACACCCTGGGAGCTGACTGGTCTACGCACGGCCAAAGCATGAAGATCTACGTCATCACAGGACTGTTCTTTATTAGACTCATAAGAGCTAAGTGAACTTTAGTTTGTGCAAATATTCAGGATGCTAATGTAAAAAAATTGTACAAAACAGACTGGCTTTAAATTATTTACTTGCTGAAGAAGGAGGAGTATGTGGCAAGTTCAATCTGACCAACTGTTGTTTGAAAATAGATGATCAAGGTCTAGTGGTGGAAAATATAGCTAATAAAATTTCCAAATTGGCTCATGTGCCGGTACAGGTGTGGCATGGATTTGATCCAAAATCCATCTTTGGAGAATGGTTTTCTGCTTTTGGAGGTTTTAAGACCCTTATAATAGGAGTCTTAATATTATTGAGTACTTGCCTTCTCCCATGCCTAGTGCCAGTATTACTCCAGATGGGAGGAACCTAGTGAGTTCAGCTGTGTCTCAAAGAGGCCCAAGTAGACTGTATTACATGCACCACCAACAAACTGTGGCACAGGTTGATGGGGATGATGATGAGACTCCATAACAACTTGTTTTGAGTTTCAAAGGGGGGAATGAGGTGAGAAAAGTAAAAAGCAGTTCAAAAAAGAGTTTGTCCTAGCCACCCTGTGTAGGCCTCAGCCAAGCCGCAGGCGTTTCTATTGTCTGCGTGTTTCTCCCCTGACATACTTGGGGGCCTAGATTGTCATCTATGATGTCATGTCTCATTCTTTATTTTATGACCCTCACTCTCTGTCTTATGACCCTCACATGCACTCCTACCCTGAAAAGTGGATAAAAGAGAGGCATGGGATTGAGTTGGGGGGCTCGGTTTTTGGGGAACACGCTGGCGTTCTGAGTACCCCCGGCTGAATAAACCTGCTTCCTCTAATCAACTGGTGCCTGGAGTCTTCTGTCTGCGTCAGTTTCCTGCTACACTACCAGAGCCAAACCTACTTATTGCTCCTCTTTGGTTTACAAATAAAACCCTTCTCAGGTCTGGACAGAAGAACAAGCCCACAGCCAAAATGAAGCAGTGCAGGGTATCAGAGTCACAGATGCTTATCTCCAGCCCCCAAGCTACACCATGCAGGTTGATCATGTGGATTCTGATCTCAAGGATGAGAGTGGGGGGGTGGGTCTCTTATAGTAACCACCCTCGAGGGCTCTTAAAGAATACTCAGCGGAAGCATGGACCACATCACAGAGAAGCAGAGGCAGAGCAAGCTCCTCTCTGGAACAAAGTGGTTCGACATCTGTGCTGGTGAGTCATTTGTCTTCCTCTAATATTTAAAAGGAGATGGGGAGGACTAACCCAGCTGTTGTTGGGGTTGTCAGATTCCTGCCTGCAGTGAGACACGGTACAAAAGCCCCAAGCTGTAGAGTTGAGCTGCTCTTGGTTCAATCCATCATTACCATTTGCCGCTGTGAGGGTTACGTTAGAGAAACATGGAAACTACTGAACCTGACACGCAGTAAGTGTATATAAGCTTACGGTACTGCTAGTAGGGGCAAAATCAGGCACAGGCAGGGACAGGAGAGTCTAGTCACTGTGTTTATTCACTGAATAATCTCTGTTCTCTGTTCACTTCTTTGCATTTTACAAAGCAAACTGTTACTGCAGATTCTTACTTTTTTTTCAATATAAATCAATATGCTACTACAGAAACTTAAGAAAGTATAGAAAAATATAAAGGAAGAAAGGAAATAAGTCACCCACAACTCCACCAGCCAGAGGCCAAGTGCTGATAAAATTTGGTCATTTCTCTATGTTTTTACAAATAAAGTCAAAATCTCAGAGTTTATCATGGATGCTTAAACAAGAATCCACAGGGTATGTGGTAGAGGGAGTCAAGGGTTCAAGAACCCCCAGGATTGCAGGTCTTTGTGGGTGTGTGCATGTGTGTACATTATTTCTGAGGAAGGTCTGAAGTTTCTATGAGATTCTCAAAGTTTATAACTTAAAAGGTTAAGAATCACAATGAATTTTACATCCTTTTTGCCACCTACTTGTTGTATGGTAAGAGTACTTATTTTGCTTATTCACTTTGTGTTTGCACTGTTCTGAGCAATTTAAGTGTATTGTATTTTCAGGGTACAAGTGAATCTAAGAGTAGAATGTGAATGTTTTAAAACAATAACTAAGAAAATGACATGAAGGCTATGTTAACCAGTTTGATGGAAGTGTTTCGGAATGTGTGTGAAAACCCCACACTGTACCCCAGAAGTGCATTAATGTACATAGTTACCATTCAATAAAAAATAAATAAATAAATAAATAAAATAATAAAAAAATAAAAAAATAAAAATAGGGCAGGAAATTAAAAAAAAATAAGTGTATTGCATTTTCCAAGTCAAAAAAGTGCTTCCTAAACATTTTAATCATATTCCATTTTAGGTTTGAATTATAATTTGCTTCCTTCTTTAGTATCAGACTTTTACAATATTTCCTAAGTTATATATATTACTTTTTAAAAAATTGTCAGAAATCAACTTAGGATTTTAACTATAAAAAATAAAGAAATGAATGTTTTTAACCTTTACTAGAAGGGAAAGTAATTTTCAATAATCTTCAGAATTGCCCATCCCAGTTAACATAATGTTAAAGCTTCCCAATTATTACAATTAATTTGCATAGATCCTTTGAGGCAACATGTAATGGGAACACAGGAGTCCAGCAAAAGCTGGAATAGGAAGATAACAAAAAAGGCAAGAGTAAGTTAAGCAATAATGCAGAGACCAACAGTATTCTTAAGCAAAGCCAAGCTGCCGGTTTCATATTTTCAATGATAAAAACAAACGTTTTTGTCCCCATGTGAAGCAATAACACATACATATCACCCTAGGATCTACTTAATCTAGTACCCAGAAAGGAGCAGGGGCAGGAAGCCCACTGGCCAGTCAGTGATCACCTTGAGAGATCTAACATTGTGGCTGAGGGGCAGGGACTATTTATTGGGTAGTCTCACCCCAAAGGCAAAGCCCTTCCTTTCTGGTCAGAAGGGTACTTTGGCCCCAAGAAAGATGAAGGTAAGGCAGCAGCATCAGGGCTAAGCTGTTTTCAGTTAGGAGCAACATTAGGGAAAGAGGGTCTTCGTGTGGATTAAAGAGATGACCTCACCTCTTGCATGCCCTTGTCTGGCCAGGCAATATTCTGACTTTGCTAAACCTTGCAGAGACTCTGTCCAAACACTACTATTCCTAACACATCTTGAAGTGCTGGTGGGATATGGCTCCAGGCCACTGGAAATGAGTCACTGGGTGTTGAGTATCTGCAGGTCAGTGGCAAGGATGGGCCTTTTGCTCCCAGGCTGATGTTACAACCACCTCTGCTCCTGTGCTGTCGGTTATGTCACCCCATGTTTTGTGGCCCTCTTGAGGGTCATAGGGCAGAGAGGTGGACAGAGAAAAGTGACGTGTTGTAGGGCCAGAACGCTGAGCCAGAAAGGCAGTTATCTGGTCTTTTGGCTACAAGCCTCACTGTACCTGGTCCCCCATTTCAATTGGGTCCTTCATTTATTAAGAGGCCCCTAAGCTCTAAACTGCTAATCACAGAAGCTAAGGCCATGTCCCTTTCTGGGAAATCTACTTTTTAAGAGAATCCTAAAGATCAAGAAGTCTTTAGGAAACAAGGCTCTGATGGTGGAATGTCATAAAATGTGCCAGGTGACAAGAGGGAAGTGGGACAGGGTGGGAGAAACACCCAGTTCCTCATCTGTGAAGCTCACTTGGACCAAGTGCTGGGCAGCGTGGCTTTCTATACCTTGCTTCCCCACTAGTCACCTTTTTAAATCTATGTAGCTGAGGGGAACAAAAGGCAGGAAGGACTGTTCGCCCAGGCGACGAAGTCCCTGTCATCCCCTAAACACCTGCAGCCTCCAGGCATCTCCTTGACAGCAGACCCTCCAGAAGGGGAACTTGTTTTAGCTTTCACAAGTTAACAGACAATAAGGCTGAGGATGGGTGGGCAGCTGTGATCAGGTGTGGTGGGATGAAGACGGGCCCTCCCCACTCATGAGCAGTGCTGCCCTTCCAAAAGCACTTGCCTATTTGATCACATAGTGAATTTGCTTTCAAAACAACTGAACACAAGCTTTTATGGAATGTGTGTGCAGGTCAGTTATGAGTTATCTCCCAGATGGCTGAGACCCTGAAAAGTTTAGGGTATCCTGTCTGAGCAATTTCCCTAAGAAGTGGCTAGCTTCAGCATAGTGGACTATGTTCTTTCTGAGTGCCATAGTGGGTAGGTTTAGGAGATGGCTATTTGCATTCTACATGTGGTCAACAGATTGTGGAAAGACAGGGAGTGTCCACCTCAGGACAACATAAAATTCTTGGGTTTTGACTACAGGTGTTCATCAGAACAGACACCATGGCAGAGTATGAAGACTACGAAGACAATGGGTTCTTCAACACTTCCAAAGGCAGCAGCCAGGACCATGAAAATTTCCTGCAGTTCAAGAAGATCTTTCTGCCCTGCATGTACCTGGTGGTGTTCGTCTGTGGCCTACTGGGGAACTCCCTGGTGCTAGTCATATCCATCTTCTACCAGAAGCTGAAGACCCTGACAGATGTATTCCTGGTGAACCTGCCCCTGGCTGACCTGGTGTTTGTGTGCACTCTGCCCTTCTGGGCCTATGCAAGCATGCATGAGTGGATCTTTGGCAACTTCATGTGCAAGACCATACTGGGCATCTACACTATGAACTTCTACACGTCCATGCTCATCCTCACCTGCATTACTGTGGATCGTTTCCTTGCAGTAGTTCAGGCCACCAAGGCCTACAACCAGCAGGCTAAGTGGATGACCAGGGGCAAGATCATCTGCTTGCTCATCTGGGTAATCTCCCTGCTGCTTTCCTTGCCCCAGATCATCTATGGCAATGTCCTTTATCTTGATAAAGTCATCTGTGGTTACCATGATGATGGCATTTCCACTGTGGTTCTTGCTACCCAGATGACACTGGGCTTCTTCCTGCCGCTGCTCACCATGATTGTCTGCTACTCAGTCATAATCAAGACCCTGCTTCATGCTCGAGGCTTCCAGAAGCACAGATCTCTAAAGATCATCTTTCTAGTGGTGGCTGTGTTCCTGCTGACCCAGACGCCTTTCAACCTCGTGAAGCTCATCCGCAGCACAAGCTGGGAGTACTATGCCATGACCAGCTATCATTATGCTATCACGGTCACGGAGGCCATTGCATACCTGCGGGCCTGCCTTAACCCACTGCTCTATGCCTTTGTGGGCCTGAAGTTTAGGAAGAATTTCTTGAAACTTGTGAAGGACATTGGTTGCCTCCCTTACCTTGGGGTCTCATATCAGTGGAAGTCTTCTGAGGATACATCCAAGACTTTATCTGCCTCACAGAATGTGGAGGCCACCAGCATGTTCCAGCTGTAGGCCTTGCTGGGGCTTGGAGAAGCTGCTCTAGAATTTATAGGAGCCTGGTTGTGTCCTCCAGAGGTAATGAGGAAGCCTTTGTTTATAGCTTGTGTATTCTCATAAGGAAGTAATCAAGCAATCTGGCTGGTTTGAAATGCTTCTTCTTCTCAGACATGAACATCATCCATTCTCTTTTAGAATATTCAGGCCTAAAGTTCAAAGTGGGGCAGAGTCTAAAATTTTTAAGGGCTTGCTGAAGCCAAGGGGATGATGTGTAGCTCTTAAGATCTCAGGTTCTAAGAAAGCATAGGAAAAACACTTGACAATATCGGCCCTGGGGAAAGACTTTATGAAGAAGACTTCCATGTAAATTGCAACAACAAAAATAAACAAATGGGACTTAATTAATCTGAAAAGCTTCTGTACAGCTAAGCAGATAACAACCAAAGGAAATAGACAATCTACACAACGGGAAAGGATATTTGCATATTTTGAATCAGACAAAAGCTTGATAACGAGGATCTATAGAGAATTCAAATTAATCCACATGAAAAAAGCCAACAATCCCATATATCAATGGGCAAGAGAGATGACCAGAACTTTCTCTAAAGAAGACAGATGAATGGCTAGCAAACATATGGAAAAATGCTCATCGTCCCTAATTATTAGAGAAATGCAAATCAAAACTACCCTGAGATATCATCTAACCCCAGCGAGAATGGCCCATGTCATAAAATCTCAAAACTGCAGAGGCTGGCGTGGATGTGGACAGAAAGGAACACTGTTACGCTGCTGGTGGGACTGCAAACTAATACAACCTTTTTGGAAGGAAGTATGGAGAACTCTCAAAGACCTCAAAAGAGACCTCCCTTTTGATCCTGCAATCTCATTACTGGGCATCTACACAGAAGGAAAAAAATCCTTTTACCATAAGGACACTTGCACCAGACTGTTTACCACAGCTCAATTTACAATTGCCAAAATGTGGAAACAGCCTAAATGCCCACCAACCCAGAAATGGATTAACAAGCTGTGGTATATGTATACGATGGAATACTATTCAGCCATTTAAAAAATGGAGACTTTACATCCTTTGTATTAACCTGGATGGAAG